CCAGATGCTATATCTTTTGATAGCCGGGCACCATTAGCTATCTTTACCATATTTGCTTTATGCACACATTTGTCTTCAGTGATCATATCAGGCAGGTGGGCATCCACTGATATTATTTTTTGTTCTTTGATGCCTGATACCTGGTCCCCTCTACACCTTGTGGTCACACAGGCTGGTGTGCTTCTTCCATGTGGGCTTTGCTGCTTCTGAGCTAGATGCTTGTTTACCTGCAAGCCTTTAAGACCCCAGATGCTATATCTTGATAGCCGGGCACCATCAGCTTTCTTCACCACATTTGTTTATGCACACGTGTCTTCAGCAATCATGTCGGGAAGGTGTGCATCATGGAATTATTCATTGGCGTCTACACCATTTTATGACAGTCCCAACATTAAGCTGCCCATTATGGATTAGGGTGCTGGTGGGGGGTACTTGGGCTATTTGCAGACCCGGGAAGCTGTGGGAATCCTGCACATGAGCACGGTACACGAGTGCTCAGATTTCTGTAACAGACACATTTAGAAGTGGAATTGTTGACTCTTAGTTAATGTCCGGCATCAGCTCTACTAGATAATGCCACACAGTTTCCAAAGCAAAGGTAGTAGTACTAATTTGCAGATCCAGTTGTTAGGTGCTTGGCTGCCAACCTAAAAGTCAGATGTGGTCGTCTGCTTCCATAACAATTTAGAGCCGTGGAAACCTTATAGGCTAGTTCTGCTCAGTGGGCTTTGGTTGAAATGTACTTTATCCCTTAAGATGAACTTGTTTCATGCATATTCAGATATTTTTTTACGCCAGTATTTCACCAGGCGATACTAGGAAGCCTTCCTTGGTTCTTCTGTCTTTCCTAAGAGGTAGCGCATAGATAGCTGTCAGTTTTCGTGAGCCTGGGACGGGGCCTGGAGATGTATTCCGTGTCTGATTGACTCTGTCAGCAAGAAGACACTGCACTCACGGTCAGAGCAGTTCCTGCCATGGGGGTTAATTTTGGTTGGACATAAGAAGGGGTAAGACGTTTCTCTTCCAGAAGGTGGTTTCCATTAAAAATGCAACGTCGACTACGTACATTCTCATGATGTACGCAAATGTACCTGCAGAGCAATTGGATCTAGTTTTTACTGGTTATTTAGAATCTCTGCGTTGTATTTCTTGGGTCACGCGCCGTCCGGTGATTTCCTGTCTGTTTTCTCTTTCTCCCAAAGATCCCTCATGTCTATGATCCGGAAACGATCCCACCCCAGCGGCAGTGGTGCTAAGAAAGAGAAGGCCGCGCAGCCAGAAACAAGTAAGCCTCCCTCCCCAGGTTGACCTTGGTCAGGGGCCCAGTGGACTTTGCCTCTGCTTCACACCTAGTGTGCAGGGAGCTCTTCAGCCGGGAACAGATTGTCGGTTTGGGGCGGGGGGAGAAGGGGGGACTTGACATCTGTCAGAATGTACCCAGGGGAGCCGGTGTCCCAGCCATAGCCATGGTGCCCACTGTAGTGGGAGGGGTGCTGGGAAATTTGGGGGGTGGGGTGGGAAAGAGAGGGAGTAGTTTTCAGTGAGTGGTTTGGGAAGGCTTCTTAGAGGTGGTGGCAAGTGAGACTTTACCAAGCGTGTGTCAGGTTTGGGGAAGGCACAGTGTTGCATGCAGGTCTATGTTGAGAAGACCAAGAGCAAACAGTTTGCTGTCTCAGTGAGTAGATATGTAAGTCCATTTTTGCTGCGTGCTGTGGAAGAGGGGTACGCGGTTGTCAGTTTAGGGGGTGTCTTAAGGTGAATTGGTCGATGTGAAAAGTCAGGGGTCAGTAGTTTCTTAGAGGTGTGGCAGGGGAGGTGGAGGGGAAAGAGGGAGCTAAGCATAGTGAGTACAAGAAAGAAGAAAAGGTTCTAAAATTGAGCGTGGTGTTGACTGCGCAACAATTTTTAATGTGATTAAAGCCCTGACTTATACTTGTCAATAAAATAAAAAATAAAGAAAAAAGAAAAAAAACGTCAGGAGAGGGGTGTGTTTTTGGAGTCGAAGCAGTTCTGATAGAGGGCCAGCATAGTCACAGGCCTAAGTCGGGAAAGCACTGGCCGTGTTGCAGAAAATGAAAGAATGTGGATGGGATCAGAGCTGTGGGTTGCCAGAGAGAGATCTGACAGCTAGGCTGGGAGCCTTTGAAACCTGACCAAATGAGCTTGGAATTGACCCTGAGGGCAGTAGAAGTGCTAAGTGGGAGTCTACCTGGGTGAGGCTCTCACAGGTGGCTGCTGTGGGAGGTCAGAGGGCCGACTGGAGGGGCACTATTGGAGTCTTCTGCATGAAAGTTGATGGACACTTAGATGAGGAGGGGGTAGTTTGCATAAACATGGTAAATTCCAAAACCAGGTAGGGAAGTCTACACACCAGGACTTTGGAATTTGTTGGAAAAAATGAAGGCCAAGGGCCTTCCTGTTGAGCCGGGGCTCCTGGTAACTGAGTGAAGTCACTTCCCAGAGCTGGAAGTAGAGAGGCGTGTAGTCCCAATGAGAACAGAAATGGCAGTGCTGGGGCTACCTCGTGGCCTTGTCTACTGAGAGGCCTGGAAGCCGAACTCAGCTCAACATTGTTTTTTGTCAGTGTGTATTAGAGGAACAAAACGTGTTGGCTTTGCCTGATAAAAGCTCAGCGTGAAGAAAGATTCTTCTCAGCAACCTCCTGCTTCCAAGGTGTGCCCAGCCCCTTCCACGGGAGGAGCAGCATGGTGCTCTGAGGTCAGAGCATCGTCCCCCAGCTTGTGGCATGTTGATAACTCCTCGTGGCAGCCAGAATCCAAAACCAGCGGTCTGTTCAGAGGAGGTCCTCTGCTTGCTTTTACGTCAGCTTCACTTCTGGGTACATCTCTGGCCTCCTGGCTGGGTATCCCCTCAAAGGCCTCTGTGCATTTGCTGGTGTATTTACTCCCCCAGAATTGCCCTGCCTCTCCTCAGCCCAGGTGCTGATCTAGGGCCCTGTCCTTTGCGCAGATGCACGAGGAGCCTTGGGGCCATCGTGGTTACGTGGTGGGCTGCTAACCTCGTGGTCAGCAGTTGAAC